AATTGCTGAGATGATGGATATTGGCAATGAAGACTAATGACTAATTAATTTCTCACCAGAAAAAAAAAATACAGCTTATTTCCTACCAGTTTAAGTTTTTCTGTTTACTTTCAGTTTCAACAACACTGCTTTTGGGCCATTGATATTTATCAAAGTCTAATGTAGATACAGAAAATTGGCCAAATTATAAGCTCAAACTTATGAAACTTTTCACATACTGATACTATGTGTCATCAGTTCAAGAAATGGAATGTTGTCAGTGCCCTGGAAGCTCTACTTGAGCTCATTTTTATTTACGTGTCAAAAGCTAACTACTATCCCAACTTCACAGCATTGATTGGTATCTATTTTAAAACTTATCTAAATGGAATCATAATGTATATCGTCTTTGGGCCAAACTTCTTTCACACAACCTTTTGTTTGAGAGATGTGTCCATATTATTGAAGTTGTAGTTTTCTTTTTCACATTCTTGCTGTATACTTGTTTCATTGCTAACGATATCTGTCAGTCTGAAAGTATAAAATATTATAGTGTTTTAGTTTTCTCTCTCAGTCTTTGATTTAATGTGAGATTGAATGTGTCTTCCTACCTTCACATGTTATTTGTTTGCTCTTTTTGACATGGGTTATTTATTGCTCCTCTCTTGTGACTCTGGTTGCTCTTACTGTGAATCAACTTTCATTCAATAGGTCACATTGGCCCTTAGTTACAAAGTAAGAGGGACTTTTGGTTTTTTTCACTGTCTCCCAAAAGGCCAATTAAGATTGCATTCTTTTGACAAGGGAACAAAGTGTCCCTTCTGTAGTTTTGTGGTTGCAGAGTTTTAATCCTCAGTAGTGGGAAAAGGAACATGATCTGTGGATTCCAGACCCCAAGGGTGAATCAGCCCTCATGCTGGGCTGAAGCCATCCTTCCCCTAACATGTTGGTCTTCTTTCAAAAACTGGTTTCGTTGAAAAGTTGACCAGTCATGGTTGTTTGCTGCCCGAGGGTACAGAGCTTCTTTAAAATTAAAGCCGACTCAGACCCAAGATTGATTAAGGATGAGATGGGTGAGAACCTCTGCCTCAGGGGTTCCCACACCTAGTTACACAAAAGAATCACCAGGGGGGGGCTTTAAAGAAATACCAATGCCTGACCCCAGTCCCAGACAGAAATTGTGATTTCATTGGTTTGGGGAGAAGCTTGGGTGTTTTAAATGATCCCAACGTGATTATAATGGGTAGCCAGGAATGAGAACCACTAAAACTTTTGCCTTTGTGAGGGACAGATTCACTTCTACTGAATTGATAGATTTTAGCCTGTAAATAAAGAATTTTTCAGCCTATTTGAGGTCATGGCAGACTCCCAGAGAAGAGCCAGCATCCTAACATTTGTCTTTCCCAACTGCTGGGCAATGCCACAGATTTTACTCCTAGAGCATAATTCCTTATATGTGCTATTTTGATTCACAACAAATGTAAATAGATTGTCCAAAATGGATCAGTACATTAGCCGGTCAGTTCTTTACCCCTAAATATGACTGAGCTTTCAGATCATGCTTTGAAAGAGGTTGTGGTAATGGAAGAAGAGCTATCGAGACCTTCCCATGTTGAGGAGTATAACCAGGAGGCAGAGGGGTGCAGAAACAAACAGGTTTATATGTGTGAGCTTGCTTTAGGTCCCAAAGATAGCCAGGACTTTTGGACTTGGGCTCTGCCCTTGAGAACCTTGATAAACATTCTCTTAAGTTTCACAAGGGAAAAGCTAGAAGAGTGGTTTCAAAAGCATGGTCCCCCAGGCTTGGCAAAGAAAAATGGAGCCAACTGAAAGAACTCCCCCAAAACCAAATCTCAAACAACATAAGCAACAAAATATATCAAGTAAAATTTGATTATAACTCAAAGTGAAAAATAAGTACCTGTGAATTCCTACTGGTGTAAAATGTTTGAATAAATAAATAATAAATATAGGAAAAAATTCTCTCATAGGGGAGAATTCCAGATAATTTATAAAGATATGTTCCACTCCTTAAGTGTGAGCTACGCATAGTGACTTTTTTTCCAGAGAGTACTGCATGGAAAGTTGGGGTTGGGGACTTTTATAAAGTGCAGCAATCTTGCAAACACTACCTCAGCCAGGTGATAGAGGCTAATAAACCATAAGTCATAAACCATTTTGATAGTAGGTACCGATGTGTGGGGGAGGGAGGTTTCCCCACACCAATAAGCAATTCTTCAGACACCAGCTGGTGTTCTACCATTCAATTCAATTCTGGCACTATCCACCTGGAGATAGCATCAGATCCCACAGATTAAGGGTTCAGTCCTCTGAGACTGCATTCCCTGCCTTCGGATGCCAGTTGCAAGCCCATTATTGTCAGTGTTGTAACGAGCCCGGTACAGATTAGAAGTTCCCACAATCCCCTCCTTATACTGCAGACACCAGTCACAAGTCCAGGTTGTTCCCTGTACTTTTGACCAACTGCCTATAAATCAGACGTTTCCACAACCTGCTTCATGGGTTCAATTAATTTGCTTGTGCACCTTGCAGAACTCAGAGAAACATTTTACTTGCTAGATTACCAGTTTATTATAAAAGGATATAACTCAGGAAGAGCAAGATGGAAGAGATGCATAGGGCAAGGTATGGGGAAGGGGCTCAGAGCTTCGATGGTCTCTCCAGGAAGTCACTCTCTCAGCACCTGCACCTGTTTCACCAGTGTGGAAGCTCTCCAAACCCTGTCCTTTTGGGTTTCTATGAAGGCTTCATTACATAAAAATGATGAAATCATTGGCCATTGGCAATTAATTTAACCTCCAGCCTCTCTCCCCAATCTAGAGGTCAGGGGTGGGAATGAAAGTTCCAACCCTCTAGGTCAGCGATTCTCAACCTTCCTGATGCCGCAACCCCTTAATACAGTTCCTCATGTTGTGGTGACCCCCAACCATAAAATTATTTTCATTGCTATTCTATAACTGTAATTTTGCTACTGTTAAGAATCATAATGTAAATATCTTTGTTTTCTGATGGTCTTAGGCGACCCCTGTGAAAGGGTCGTTCGACCCCCAAAGGGGCCGTGACCCACAGGTTGAGAACCGCTGCTCTAGGTGGTTCTGTGACAACAACCAGCCCCCATCCATAGGTGAGGTCCAAAGGTCACCTCATTAACCTAACAAAAGACTTTTATAGCTCTTATCACCTAGGATATCCAAGGGTTTTAGGATCTCTGAGCTAGAAACCATGTAAGACCACATATGGGAATATGCTTTGGTCTTCTGAATGACGAAATATATATTTCTTATAAATCCTAATATTGCAGTACCTTTGATATGCTGTATTAAGAATGCCACTTCACCTCTGTAGTCTTCCTCACAGAACTCCAGTCTAACCATAAGGTTAAAAAAAAAAAAAATCAGACAAACCCATATTGAAGGACATTGTACAAAATATATGAAAAGAACTACTCAAAACTGTCAATGCAACAAAGACAAAGTCTGAGACACTGTCACAGCCCAGAGGAGCCTGAGGAGACAAGAGTACTAAATGTGGTATCCTAAATGAGTTCCTGGAACAGAAAAAGGACACCGGGTTAAAAAGTAAGGAAATCTCAATAATATGTGGGCATTAGTTAAAAATAACATATTGATATTTGTTCATTAGTTGTGACAACTATGAGTATACCCCAATAATATAAGATGTTAACAGTAGGGAAACAGAGTGCAAAATATATGGGAATGCTCTTTACTATCTTAACAAATTTTCTGAAAAATCTAGAACTATTCTAAAATAAAAAGTTTATGTAAAAACAAAAAAGAAAGAGTGATTCCCAGAGCAGCAGTGAAAGCAGCATCTGAGCATCTGAAAACGCAAATGCTCGAGTCCCAGCCAAGACCTCCCGAGTCAGAAACTCTGGGGATCTAGCATTCTGAGGACGGGGATTCTGACTGTGACTGAGAACTGCTGATCCAGCAGGCTGGCCAAGAGCTCTGCTTTCCGGTCCTTTCATTTTATATGAGGTCATATTACTTTTTCTTTAGTGCCCAGGAGTGAAGAATCAGATATGGCCTCCTGGTAGCGTCTGATTACCTGGTTATCACCTTTCGCTGGGGAATGATATGCTTGCTTTTCTTCTCCTATTATTCAAATATGATCTCAAGGACCCTTTTTAGACCAAGTTGTGCTCATGTCTTCCACAATAATTTCAGCACGCACAAATCCCCTCCACCTCTGATGCCCCCAAACACATACCGTGTACCAACATGAATGTTTACAGAGGCACAAATCACAAGTTTGCATTCTCCAGAGACACAGATGACCTTGGGCAAAATACGTGATCCTTCTGTACTTGAGTTTCTTTATCTGTGATTTGGGGATTATAAAAGAGCATCTACCTCATGGATTTTTGTGAGGATTGTGAGTTAATACTCATAAGGTGTTAAGAATAATAAATAGTACTTAGTGAAACCTAATAAATGTGAGCTGGTGCTATTATTAATAGTAAATGTCTTGCCTCTTAACTATTTCTCTACTTCTCCCAAAGTAGCAGGGTTGCGTGTGTAAAATAATGGCTCAATAAAGACTGGGTGAGTTGAGCCCACAAAAATTCTATTTCAAACACGGTAATACTACCACCACGGCCACCACCAGTCTTATAGGGTGCCTTGATTTTGAGTGGGCACGTTAGAAATATTTCATGTTGTTTATATAATGCTTTTAGATAAAGCTTAAGATTTGGTGGGAGAATATATACCAGGGGTGCTAAAAAAAGGGTATACACATTTTAAGAAAGGAAAAAACTGTATTAAAATTGTAATAATATATACCGATAACAAAAGATGAATACAAGTCATGTGTATACATTTTTGGGGGCACCCCCAGTATATATATATAAAATCTAGGTATGAATTACTCTTACTTCAAGCTTCACCCCCTACAGTTGTGCTGTTATTAATGAAAACACTATCTTAATGTTGATCTAAGACTATTCTAGTTCCCAAGTTCTTTAGCAGAGCTTGTTAGACTAAAAAAATGAGATTAGTCAGAAAAGAAACCAGCACCCCAAGGAGTGTTCTAGCAGCAGAATATTTGGATAACGGGTTCAGATGTTGCTTACTTGCTCTTTGGAACAGGTTAAATACAAATGCAACAATTTACATGACATAAATATGCAAGACCTGTGTGTTTTGGCTTGTTTTTCAGATGGGGATTAACGTGGTGGACTCTGCAGTATCGGGATTAGGTGGCTGCCCTTATGCAAAAGGTGCTTCTGGAAATGTAGCCACCGAGGATTTGATATATATGCTTAACGGCCTGGGGCTCAATACAGTAAGTTAGTTTTACATATTTTAATATTCATGAATTCCCTCCATATCCAAATTGAAATGCGTTTCAGATTTGGGAAGCAATTTTAAGGTCAGTTTTACTACACTTTTACTATTGACTAAAATGCACAGTGGGAAAAGAACAATAAAAATTCTTTGGGAAGCTTTATAAAGTAACTTACTGCTATAGTTCAATCACCAATAATGCAGCCATTTCACATTTTTATAGCGCTTCCTGACCTCCGAGTACTTCTTTTTATGTCTTATCTGATTTGATTTCACACACTTTGTGAATCAGAGCCTGTGTCTTTCCTGTTATGATTATTGTTTTCTCAGTTCTGGATTTTTATGGATGTTTTCCTTGGGAGGACACAGACAGCTTGATTGTCTCATAGTGACAAGTAAGGGTTCTGGAAAAGAGCCCAGTGCACTTTTAAAATGGTCAGTGGAAAGCAGAGCTTAATCATAGTAAGCATGTGAGACACTGGACAACAGGAATAGCCTCTTTCCAAGTGGTACCTGAAGTCACATGCTCTATGAAAACATGCATCAAAATCAGCACCTTGTTTTGTCACATGCTTGTTAACATGACTTGTTAGTCAATAAGGCAGACTTTTTTAGGGAAAAAATATAAAAGGCAAGAGAACTGTTCACAGATGATTAGAAGTTCAAAATGTTTTCTGAGACAGAAAACCATCATCTGGATTACAAAGTGGAATTTTCCATCTCTTTCTATCTCCCATCTCTCCTCTTTCCTCACTCTACTTACATTGCTCCTGCAACACCATACTTGCCTGC